CTCTCTCTCTCTCTCTCTCTCTCTCTCTCTCTCTCTCTCTCTCTCTCACACACACACATATGTACATGAGGATGTTTACAGGAAACGGACTCATTAAACACACAAATTAGCTCACTCAGGAATTGGGGCTGATTTTGGGCTGAATCTGTTCCAGTTGGACCCGTTTGAAAGAACTCGCACACATATTATCTCAATCATCAGCAATGCTGGACTTACATTACTGTAGTTTGTGCACTAATAAATAAAGGTGCTAACTAGAACCCTACACTGTGGGGTACTTAGCCGTGTCCCCATAGGACGATTCTTTGGGTTCCTGGTAGAACCTCTTATAACAAACTAGAGGTCAGTGAATTAAAGTGAACTGACCCTTTAAAGACGGTCTGCCAGCCGTCCAGGAGGCGTCATCAATCATATGCATGTTCAGTAGTGTGACTCACTTCTGAGTCACGTCATGAATACTACATCTCGTGGTTCTTTCTGAAGTGAGTAAGAAAAAAAAAAAAAAAGCACTGAAACACAACAGGATGGGGAGTACATTAACAAAATCATGAGTCAGATCAGTTAAAGCCATTCTTTTCTGCCGCATCATGCACTTCCAGGAATACTATTTCTCTCCCCCCCCCCCCCCCCACACACACACACACACACACACACTCATTAATGACTCGGACACCAGGTATTTCATCGCTTTAACCGTCTGAACCCTAAAACCCACCCGCAAGATTGAAAAGCATGTTTTCTTTAAACGATCGCAAAACTACATCGTTTATCACCGCAAGAAAATGTAAAAAACTTTATCGTCAGATTTTGATCTTTCCGACGGTCCTTGAACACATCGTGTGCAGCGAACGCTTTCATCAGCAGAAGCAGCCAAAACAAAGCTACAAATTGTGATATTTCATCAAAACCACTTAATTCAACATGTCTCATTTAAAATCTCGCCCTGAATAAAGCGTTTGCTTTCACCAGATTCTGTAAAAAAACATTTAATTCTGAGCTCCTCAATGCAACCATGAAGCCATGATTGATTCATCTGAGACCAACAGTCATGTGACAATAAATCAGAGACACTTTGACTGACCTGCAGGACGTGAACACAGAGCAGAGAGGAGAGGCTGGAAGTAGAGGCTGTAGCTCAATATTTATATCACGTAGAACCTCAATTTTCCCTCAATTTAAATCTTTTGTATTGAACAAAAGACATGTTTGAGTCTCTACTTCTACCCATGATGGTCCTGTTTCTATGGAGGAGCAGAGAGAAAATCCAGACCACAGAGAGTGAAATGTGACAGGAGGACTCTGTGGTCCAGAGGGTTAATAAGCACACGAGTCTGCTTGTTCCCGTGGTGCTCACATCTTTCTTTAGGTTTCAAGATTTGATGCTTTTTAATGGTGCGGCACACGTTACACATGTAGTGGAGTTCAGTTTAGTGCCCCTCACTTCACCAAACAGAGAGGATGTCAAGAGCAACACTGCCCCCTGCAGTTTGTATCCTGCAGAGACCCCCCCCCCCCCCCTTGACATAGTAGTTACTCAACAATGTCCCCCGACTGGTTATGGAGCCTGTCTCACACCCTGCCAGTATAAACCTTACCACTCACCCCTAGGCCCAGCTCAGGGGGGGTTGGGTGGGCAGAGAGCCAAATTAGAACCATATTTCATCCACTCTGTCGTCCAACACACACACACACACACACACACGGATGCAGGGCGTTTGTGTGCAGACATACACACAGATGCATGTGTACTCGCTGCTCACATATGGCCTGCATGGTCAAGTCACACCGTCGGTATTTCAACCACGACAAGTATGCAGGACTTCACGGTTTTGCGCAATCCTCGTAGTTCCGATGCTCCACCAAGTGTTTTCTACAACTAACACTGCGTCGCAGTGATAACGCTGCACTACGTGTCCACGATCTTACTTCACCCACACAATGATCATTAGTATATGAATTACTCACATTTAGTTTCCTTTGAATTCATGAGGAGAACGTTCTCTCGTGCTTTAAGACGGAGAAAAGAGGATCAAAAAAACAGAAGTCTTGAAGAACTGAGTTCAAAAGCTCTGATACAAACACATGCATCTTCATTCAAACATTACTATTCAAACACTTCCTCCACTGCTTACTAACAGTAACATGTGTGAGAGAGAACAGTGTTAATAAAGTTTTGCTGTTGTGAAACTTTCAGCTCTATTTACTTCGATTCGTCAAGACTTCAAGGTAAGGCGCTGAGTAACGTTCGTATAAATGGTTCTAAAAACAGTTCTAAGATTCCTCCTTTCTGTTCATGTTTCTTGTGTTTTTCGTTGGACTCTTGTCCCGGTCTGTGTGTCTGGTTCTGGTGTGAAGATGGTGGGCGTCCCAGTGCCAGAGCCCCTCTCCTCCTCTCCCCAATCCAGCCCCGAGGTCTGGAACAGATTACATCTGATATTAAACACATGGCAGTTAGAAAAGGAGAAGAAAAAGAAAAAAAAGTTTAAAAAAGAAAGAAAAGAAAAACAGAGTGGATTTGTCAGCTCCCTCCCTCCCTCCCTCCCTCCCTCAGCCTCCCCCTTTTCTCTCTCTTTGTCTCGTTCTCTACAGTCTTCTGGTCGTCCTGAGAGAACAGAGGAGATCATGTCGGCTTGTCACACTTTCTGTCAGAAGCACAGAGATGTGAGACGTTTGATGCCTCCTTTTTATCCTGCCTGCAAAGTGGCAGAGAGGAGAAATCTGAGAGGAGAGCAAATGTGAAATGTGAATTCAAATACAAGATTTTATAAGACAAAGTGTCTCTCATGGAAAGACTTTGTGGCCTCTCTCACACACACACACACACACACACACTCCTCGTCCTCGGTGTCCCGGTAGAGATGTGTGTTTCATAACGTTGGCGCATAATGAGACCCGGGACCCCGAGACTCCGTCGTGAGGACGGCACTGATTGGGTCCAGAGGAATGTTGGCAAACGAGACGTTTAAGGTGGATCGAGAACATTCCTGCTAATTTCAGCGAGGGGGTCCCACAGGCCCCCCCCCCCCCCCCCCCCCGGACCAGCAGCCTCTCTAATCGCTGAGAAGAGCACTCAATCACGTCCATGTTGTCTCTTTAGTGTTGTTGCTGGGAGTCAGACGAACATCTTGTTCTCCTCGTGACTAACTGACCTGTTTGACTGTTTTCCTCCCGCAGGTCACCAGCAGCTCAGTCGCTGTGGGAGAACATGCTGACCAGTAAGCACAAAGAGGGGGTGATGGAGGTCCAACGGCAGCTGGTGGAGGCGGCCAGCAAGGAGAAGCTGCCCATCAAGATGAGCATGGGTAAGAGTTCAATGATGGTCGTGGAGCAAGGTGGACGTTTATCAGTTTTATTTATATATGCAGAGAGAGAGGGGGGGTGGATAGAGAGATGGAGGGAGGGAGGGCGAGAGATGGATGGATGGATGGATGGATGGAGGGAGAGAGAGAGAGGGAGGGAGGGAAGGCCAGATAGACATAGGGGGAGAGATGGAGAGGGGGAAAGGAGCAATGGAGGGGGGTAGCGGGGCAGACATTGGGGAAGTGAGAGAAGGAGAGAGAGAGAGAGATGGGTAGAAAGATGTCGAAAGTGAAGTGAGGAGGAGAAATTGAGAGAGAGGGGGGGCAATGGAGGGAGAGAGGGTGGGAGATACAGAAGAGAGAGAGAGAGAGACGAAAGCAACAACAATAAAACACAACAGCTATAATAATAATAATAATAATAATAATAATACACATGATGATAATAGAAAAATGAACTAATAACAACAATCACAACTTGTTTCCCATCAAATAAAACTCAAAATACATCAAATAAAATCATCATAAAAGTCATTATTCTCAGACAGAACCATAGTGCCCCCTACTCACCGCCACCGTCTCTGCAGTGTATTTGTCCATGTGGCCACAGAGGAAATCTGAACCACATGTTGGCTCTGTGACACGCACACACACACACACACACACACACACACACACACACACACGCCGCTCTTGAAAACTTTTGTTGTTCGTTAATGAAGCGAAGGGATAAAAATATGTGCAGGCACGCAAAAATAAAGTCATTACATGCACAAGTGTACGGGGGCCTCGTGCACGTTCACCTTTTCTGCTGACCTCTTGACTCACATAGGTAATGGGTGTACTACACGCACGCGCACACACACACACACACACACACACACACACAGGGCTAATATGCAGGTTAGCATCTGGCAGAGAGGGAGGGGGTTAGAAGGGAGGGGCGGTGTGGTCCCTGAGCATCTATAATCTGTGAGGTAGAGGAGGTTTCGTCTCTCGTAACGAGCAGGTTGTAATATGTTGGAAGTCACACACACCACACATACACACCACACACACCACACACGCTGCATACACATGGCGGTTTCCTTTCACACATTCGTGCTAAACAGACGTCTGGATGGCGGCTACATGGTGGATTTATTTAGATGAATGCATCACAACAAGCTGCAGAAAAGAGAAGGAACAAAGACATCGAGAGACACAGTTGAAGTATGAAGAGGCTGCTCACTTCATCCCAAAATCCATATACAGTATGTCCTCTTACCTGCAGAGCTATTAAAGCAATCTACACTGTTTTGGTGTGAGTTGCCGAGTGTTTCGAGAGATCTTCTCTCCGGTATAGTGGAACTAGATGTGTCTTTACAGAAATCATGACCCGGTTGCTGAAGATAATCCACAGACCTCGTTGTGAGCAGTTTCATGCAGGAACTACTTTCTTTCTACCGAGCCACTCCCGCCAAAACGCTAACTGGTCGCCCCAAAAATACCATGCAGCTTGCTGCTGCAGAATGTGAGATTAGGCGTGGACAGACGCAGAGGTGCACACTCACTCACTCACTTGTATGACAGTGATGACTAGCACTACAGGTAAGAGGAAGAACATGTATTTATTGTTAGTTCTTTGGTTGAACTGTCCCTTTAAGGTCTTTCCTTGAGAGAGAGAGGGAATAGGAGACGAGCTAGGAGAGAAGAGGGAACCGTCCAACTGCTCATACACTGAACCTTTATACCAAACTGGCACAGGACCAGACTCCACGAAGCCCCCCTGAGCTCCCAGCAGAGTTCCCATCCTGCCCACCAGCACCACCGGCGGAGCTCTCGAATCCATCATATCAGACCCCCCTCCCCCCCCCCCCCCCGCCCCCGCCACATACCCCCCACACACACTTACCATTAATACCTATCTGCTCTGTCAGTGCCCACTCACTCACTAGGAGAGCACAGAATTTTTCCACTCGCGCCTGAAAAACACATTCTGCACTCTGGTGGATTTATGCAGATCTTTGGAGAAAATATATACTGCACGCTCACACACACACACACACACACACACACACACACTAGACTCCAGTTGGCTTCTTTTCATCTCGACGGGATAAGATCATCCAGAGAGAGACAGAGAAAATAATCCATTTCTCAGAGCCCGAGTGTGACCCGTCGGGTTTCTCACAGCCGTGCGTGCGTGCGTGCGTGCGTGCGTGCGTGCGTGCGTGGTTTTGCAGAGTCCAGTGTTTATCTTGGGTGTTTTTGCTCTTAGCAGGGAATTAGTTAGACAGCTTCGGTTTCATCGTCTCCAAAAAGTGCGTTTATATGTTCATATATATGTGTGTGTGTCAGGTTTGTGTATATGTGTGTGTATATATATTGTGTGCACCGATACTGCAGTGTACATGAGATGTGTTGACGGGGCCTGTCGTCCTGTGGTGCAGCCTGCAGAGATGACCCCGACAATCAATTGCATTCATCATTTCAAGCCGTGAGATCAGGGAGAGTTTAATATCACAGTATTCATATTTTACAGCATCAGCTCTGCTTTTCTTTTTTTAATCTTAAGGCAAAAACATTGTTTTTCATGTGCTGATCAGCGTTTGGCTTTCATATCATCTCTTCTTTCAGACTCGAGGAATTCCTCATTTGCATATTTAAACATACACTTTCTGATGCAAGTGTCCAAGGACAGAAGATGTCGTTTCCTAAACAGACTGTAAAGCTCTCTGAGGCAAAGTTGTGATTTGTGATATTGAGCTTGAAATTGAAATTGACTCAGTCAGTGATTGACCAGCAATTGTGAAGTGTTATGATACTTTACCTTATAAGTCATGATAAAATGCTGTATAATGTGTTCTTCTTCTTATAAAGCATTATGGATGTTCATGAGAGCTTATAAACTGTAGTTATTGAGTGCTATAAGCAGATTATAAGTGTTTCTGATGCATTATGGACCTGGGTGTCTACCAAACCTCTCTGGAGCACACAGACCTCCACTCCTCCTAAAGGGCCACAAATAAAGCTACCAGGACGTTCCTCGTCTTAGAGCGCATAAATAAAAGTGCCCCGTCCATGTAGAATGACTTCCAGCTGCATCACTTAGCCTCCGAGTAACCCTCTGCACCTAGAATGCAAAGTCATCTTCCCGTAACAGGACTAAATCATCGTTGGCCCCTGCACCTTTTTTTTTGCATTGTCGAGGACTTTGATCGTGGTCGAGACCTCAGTTGCCACTTCTGCACATCAGGCTGCAATGGGTCAGCAGCTCAAGCTGTTTATAGCGCGGGACTGAAGATGTGATTTGTTTTATGGCTGCTGCTGCACGTAAGTGCACCGAGAAGAACAATAAAAGAGGCCGAGAGGTTCAGGTTTCTCCTGCTGTCTGAGGCGATGTCCAACGAGCGACGCGGTGCAGCGCTGGTGAACGAAACAAACGCGCTAATAAATTAGATAACTCCACGTTCATGCACACATTATCCAACGGACTGAACTCTACACAAGAACATTTAAATGAATCAGGAGTTCTCTCTAAAAACACTAAATATAACATGACGAAAACAATACACTGGGCTGTAAATATTTGTTAAACCACTGACTAAAATGAATCATGAATCCAAATGTAATGTATTCTGGGTCATGACGAATAAAGCACACAAACGTGTTAAATACTCGCCTGCTAATATTAGATATTTAGGGCTTTTATTGTGAAAGTTAAGACCAAAAGCAGTGGATCTGGTCTGTGTTGCCTTTGTCGAGGTTGAAAGGAGTAATAAAGTTTTACCGTCTTGATTTAAACAATGACGCCTCTGTGGTGTTGTTGTATAAATAGTCTCAGCTCATCCCGTTCTGCACAACTTGGTCGGTTGACGTCTTTATTCGTGGTGCGAAAGCTCCAAAAAATCTGCCTTGTTCCAAAAAAGAAGTCTCGTAATTTTCTTGTTCTGTGTGGAAACTCGTGACAAAAACAACAGTTAAAAAAAATATGTTGATGTGAAATGATTGCATGAAGAAAAAAAACAAAACTCCCCCGATTGTGTAAAGGCCTTTACTCTCGCTAATCTAAAAATGGTCAAAGAGGTGGATCTTCTGTGCAGACAGCTAGCAACCTGAGACCACACCCACCTGTGATATTAGCTATAAAGACATGCCATTTTAACATAGACATCAATGAGGATTGATTTGCTTTTGGAGCCTCAAGTGGCCATTTTGAGGAACTGCAGTTTCTGGCACTTCAGCGTAAGCTTCATTTTTTTAGCTCCAGAGATTGAAGCTTGATTTCGAATAGCTGATACACGACCACAGTTTGAACGTGATGGTGTTTCCTTCTGATGCATTTAGATTTACCTGTAAAAACACCTGATGGACAAACAAATGACGAAGCAATCGATTGAAGGCACGAGCACAGCGTCTTCCTTCATGTACGCTCTTATTCATTGGAGCCTTTTCCAGTCCTGCTGTTCCCGAAGAAACGTTTATTTGGCTCATCTGGCAACAAGATGCCGAAGGAATCTCAACGTTTAGTGACATAGATAAGACTCAGCCAGGGCTGTTTGATGGTTTAATGGAGAACAGGCTTTTGTGGGGCTTTCTTCTCTTTAACATTTCCTTTGTTTCTTATTTTATAGTGTCTAACATCGTCTCTGTCGGTCTCACGTGATCAGCCCGAGCTGTGTTTGGCCCAACAGTGTGCCATTCTGTCTCAGTTGCCTATTCTCGGGGTGGAATTAAGCTTTGGACGCGTTTCCTGGTTCTGTGCTGAATTGTTGTTGGCACATCGAGCTCAGCCAACCTTGATTTTCTCTGCCAGGATTTAATGGCTGGATATGCTCACAATGGAGCTTTTCAGGATTTCTGTGAATATGTCTGCAATGAAGGTCATTCAAAGAAAGGAAAATACTTTAATTCCAGCAAGAAAGTGAATTCCTTTCTGTAGAAACACGTGTCTCGTACAGTAAAGTGTCGCACAACACACACGGACTCTTTCTCTTCAGCTCTTGGAAAGTATGTTTCCCAACATTGAGCTGTCAGGTTTACTTATCAGCTGCTCTGAAAATGAGTTGTTTTTTATGATTCTCTCCAAAAAATATTTCACATTATTCTGTCATCCAGTTTAACAAAGCTCGACCCAATCTAATATTCAGTCTGTTTCTCTTCTAGTCGTGTGTTTGGCCCCGCTAAAGCAAACATTGACCATGTAGTCCAACAGGAAATACTCCCACATCTGGTGCTGGTTCAGAACATCAACATGAAGAAGTGGGCTTTATGGGGAGTTAATGTGTGCCCCCTCTCTCTCTCTATCCAGACCCTCGTACCTCCAGGCCACCCCCAACCCCCAACCCGAGGGTCCTAAACATCTCTCTCTCTCTGCTGCCTCTATGCATTTATATCATTTACACTCTTTAATCTCTCATCAGTGTTCCTGCACCTCTGCTACATGCATACGGTGATGTTTAGTTCAATACTGTAGCTGCTGTAAACGTCTCTCCGCCTGAAGCTTGAACATATAAAGAATATTCAACAAAGTCTCACGGCAGTTCAGGAAATGTATTATTCTTTTCCTCCAACTTTTTTTGTGCCAACATTTAAGTTAGGTTTATGCAACAAAACCACCAACATTTAGGTTTAGGCAACAAAACCACCAACAGTTAGGTTTAGGCAACAAAACCACCAACATTTAGGTTTAGGCAACAAAACCACCAAGAGTTAGGTTTAGGCAACAAAACCACCAAGAGTTAGGTTTAGGCAACATTTGGTTTAAGCAACAAAACCAAACTGTTAGGTTTGGGCAACAAACCACTACCATAAAGTCACAACATGTTTTGAACTTGTGGTTGAAAGTCCTGTTTGTTGGATTTATCCACCTCCCCTCCCGCCCACCAATAGTTGTCTTTTTGGATATCATAAAGTATGTCTCATGCACACACTCTCTCTTTCTCCCAGCCTGTGCAGGTTTTGCTCATTAAGATAATATTATGGTCTGTCCTGGTATCAGTTATTCCCCTCTGCCCTAAGCCGAGTGCATCATACTCATGTTTGGGGAAAAAGGTTCATTCTGTTTCCCATCAGGAGGAATAATTATGTGTCCATTGAAACCTTGTGGGTTTTCATTTGTTTTTACCAGATGGCCAACAGAGTACAGTTTATGTACAGATCTGACCGATATTGATTTATGAATTTGTGCCGACTCCTCGTATAACACCAGTGTCTTCTCCCCTCCTCTCAGGACGTGTGACCCCCGAGCAGCTGTGCTCCTACATGCAGCTGTTCCGGAGCAGTTGGGGGGCGCTAGAGAGTCACTGTGGGGTGCTCCAGCTGGGCCTGGCAACGGCCCAGACGCTCCTCCACCGCGGCCTGCCCCGCTGGGACACCTGCCTGGCCTTCGAGAGGCTGCTGCTGCAGGTCCGTGCTCATCTTACACAGAACTATTAAACATATGGGTCACAGGCGATGAAAAGTCTCAAAGTGATGCAAACGATTCTATTTTGTTTTGTTTTTAACATTGAGGAATGAGGATCGAATAACTTAACAGGTGTTTTTCTGCACTTTTACTATCTGTGGCCTTTTCACTGCAATCTATAAAAGTCCTGCTGCTCTATGGAAACAGCACCATCATGTCTAGAAGTAGAGAGAACTCAAACATGTCTTCAGTGCAGAATAACACAGTTAGAATGACATCAATCATAAAACAGAAAAAAAACGCAAGTTGAATTTCTTTGATGATTTATTTTACAGAAATTGACAAACAATGTAATTTATTATACAACATGTTTCCAAGTGTCCACAAGTGTTACCAATGTTGGTAACACTTCTAAACGAGAAAGTGTTTTTTATGAAATATCACGATTTGAAGGAAGTGTTCGTCACACACGACTTATTCGATGACTGTCGGAGGAATTAAACCCTGAAGATGATGTCGTTTTTTACAGCTTGTGGCTGTAACAACAATCTAATTTTGGTGATCGTTTAAAGAAAACATGCTTTCCAATCTCGCCGGTGGGTTTTGGCTGACGGAATGAATGGGACAGTGTGTGGGATTTAGTGCCATCTAGTGGTGTGGTTTCAGATTGCAACCAATTGAATACCCCTCCGCTCACTCCTCTCTTTACCAGACTGTGGTAACGCCATTCGCCCCGCTCACATGCCAGAATTACTAGAATAAGGCCAGACCACGGTTTTGAATTGTGTGGCTCATGTCGGCCTGTAGAGAACTACGGTGGCCTTCAAGTGACATAAAAACGTGAAAGTCTCTCTCTAGAGCCAGTGTTTGGTTTGTCCGTTCTGGGCTAACATAGAAACAGGCTGAAAACCCACCTCTTCAAGAAGTACTACCCTGAGCCTTCCACTCAGCACTTACTGTACTCGTATTAGTTTGTTTCTGTACTTTTGCTCTGGTTTATGCTCTTAGATGCTTGTTTAAAAAACAATGACTTCTGGTGACTAGCAGTTCTCTTGAATACCGATGTTGAACACACTTATTGTAAGTCTCTTTGGATAAAAGCATCTGCTGAATGACTGTAACAAACTAACTAACTATAGCGGACATGAAGGGCTCATTCTAAGCTAACAAAGACACAACGATTCTTACTTTCAGGTGATTATACACTAATGAAAGCATAGTTATGAATACATGAATATCATGTTCCATTTCTGCTAATAGATTCCCAATCATTCTACACACTGGCCCTCTGCAGAGAATTCGCTGGCAATTTTGTAATTAACTTCACTGTAATTATTCCTTCACATCTGTCCCTTCGGGTAAATATTTGATCACTGGAGCTCAGCAGGTAAGTGGGGGCTTGTGGTTCGCTAGACGGCGGCCAGAATGTTGTGTTAAACTGACGATGGGGGGAAAAAAAGAAAAACGCAGATTCCTCTCCTTCACAAACAAGGTCAGTTGTGTTTGTAGGGAAAACATTTGGATCCAGTAAACACAGCAAAAAAAAGTAACGGCAGATTTTCCATGTTGAGGAGGAAGATGTCTAGTTCACGGGGGCGGATGTACACATGTGTTTGAGTGTGGAAAGGTCAGAGGTCAAGTCTGATGGAGAGACAGAGGGTAGTGTCTCACAATAAATCAAAAAAGCCACAACAGACAGTCGTCACAACAGACAGTCGTCACAACAGACAGTCGTCACAACAAGCTCCTCAGCAGCGATCGACTGCGAGCCGATCGCTAACCAACACTAAAGCCATTTCCTCCTTCTCTTACCTTTTGCTATTTTCATAGCTTTATATTCCCGAAGCTGTAAAGCAGGCAGTAGGACAGCAGAGTATTTAGGAACTTATTAAACTAAATCACGGAAAAAGTAAAACCAGCTCTCAGCGCTGCCCCGTGCCAAATTGGAATTTAAAAAAACAACCTCATAAACCGTGGTCCTCAGCTGGGGCCGTCGCTGGTTTATTAAATAAAGGAGGAAGACTTTAGGGGCTTAGTGTCCCGGCATCCTTTTACCTCATGACTCCGCTTTGATCACCCCCCCCCCCCCCTCATAGTCGTCTACTGTACCTGTGGATGACTCAAAGTCCAATTTTCTTGCCATTCGTTTGTAGTTTTGGTCTCGTAACTACCAGGCTCTGTGGTGACTGTGTCCTCAGTTGGAAGATGGTCTCGTTGATGACTACGTTAATAACACTGTTATTGTATTCAGGACTATATATATATATATATATATATATATATATGAATGAGACTCGGTGTGGGTTCAAAATGAAATTCTTCTAGAATCAGATCTCACAATCGAGCCTTGAGCGTGATGTGAGAGTCGGTGTTTGCAATCAAAACGGGTTTGAGTTTTATTGAGGTATTAAGGGAAATGAGTTGTGTGTCCTCGGTGCCCCCCTTCTGTTTATTTCATTTCCATGTGAGGTTGTTGTTTCTTTTTGTTGCTTTGGCTCAACGTGGACTGAGAGAAGTTAATTACATTACAAAATGGCAGGCATGAAATGCCTTTTCAGCTCTCTGGCTGGCGGTCGGGCTGTGTTTGCTCTGCCCGTGTGTGTGTGTGCGTGTGCGTGTGTGTGTGTGCGTGTGTGTGTGTGTGTGGCGGGGCGCTGTGGATACGACCGGGCAGAGCTGGACGCTCCGTTGCTGCCGGACAGACCGACCCAAACTCTGCGGTGCGTTTGGGGGGCCGCCGCAGTTTACTGAGGCAAAGGGGCCGATGAGTTCAGGGCCTTTCCCAGTTCATGTCTCTCCAAACATTTACGCATTCAAACACTGTTTCATGGCTGCTCTGTGACCCAGACAACTCCTGTGCTCATGAGGTAATGCTTAAATAATGAACTGTGCTTTTAACATTACACCCACAGCTCTACGCTAACTTTTAAAAGCAGCAGTCGAGTGTTGGATGCCCAAACTGGAAATATAGTTTCCATTTTAAGTCATTTTTATATTTTGAGTAATTGGGGTACTATGATGCTGAAGAATGAACTTGTGACATGCAAGAATTGGTTATTATCGTAGTTACGTCCTCTTTGAAAACACTGATTGTAATTTTTCTCCATTTTCTGACATTTTATCGCCCAACCAAAGAAAATAATGACAGATCATTCAACATCATAAATAATCATTAGATTGTGGTTCCCCTCAAGCGACGGCAACATCAGCTTGTCCATCATCTCTACCCCGAGTCCTCCAGCCGGTCTTGACTCTGGCTGAATCCGGTCTCACGTTTTGAAGAAGAGGTTTGCACTTAATGCCAGGAATAGGTTTGCCAATTTCAACCTGTCGAGCTGTGATACCCGTGGGGGTCTCACATCCCGGAGGTTAGTAATATTGGGGCACAGATGTGGTAATGGAGGCCGATCTGTTAGATGGACTGTGATTTAAATGGTGGTAAGTGTGATACTCACCCTTTATATTGCCTTTACGGAGACTTATGACCCTCCTCAATATAGCGTTTATACTCGTGTGAGATTTCGAGGTATCTCCTCGGCTGGCACTGCCACCCTGTCTGGCGTGTAACCGGGTCTTTTTGGGGTCTGAATGGCTCATATTGAGCCGCCTTGGTCCGGCTCCAGCCCACAGCTCCAGAATGTGTGTATGCTAGACGTGTTCAGCGCTGGGTGGTGCAGCGGGAGCAGAAAAACTCAACAGACTCAGTCTTTCACCGCTTCCCAGAACATCACCGGCACGCTAGCTTCCCATCAACGGGGGCCGAGCCAGAGCCTCCCGCCTCCACCAAACCAAACATGTACACAACTGCTGTGTACCCCTCCCACGGAGAGCCGGCCGGGGACAAGTTGCAGCTGCATGTCACACTTTGTAAAGGCCGAGTATTGTCTTTGGGTGTGCGGAGCGGCCTACAGTTTATTAGTCCGTCACATGGCTGGACATGCTGGTGATGACAGCGGTGCAGTGGAGAGGAGCTAACCTCCCTCACCCCGGCCTGCTGCTTTTCTGCTCTGCTGGGATTAGCAGGCAAAGGCCTCTGCAAACACTGGAGCTCCGAGTTATTACTGGTCACAGCGCGGCCGTATGTCCCGGTCCTTATCTCCGTCTCTGCTGTGTGTTTGTGTTCTAGTCTGAACAACTGTGTGTAGAAGTTTAAAAACAAAGCTGTGAACCCAAACCCGACTCCCTCGACATCAATTTACAGAAGTAGAAAAATGCTGTTGATGTAGATTGTTAATTTGCATGACGTTCATTATTTAACGCCACGCAAGATAAAAATCTAAATGAGTCGTTCTGAAAACGTCTACCCGAACATGAAAAAACTAGTTTACCAATTACAATTCTTCACGGTGTCATTTGTTACTTAGTAACTTAGGCTTGTTTCCAAATGACTCATCGGGTTGGTTTGGGTTCCATATAGTGGCCCTATAGTGATATTGATATTTTATATATTTTTTTACTACTTATTAGTTGACATACTGTGGCTACCAATAACAATATATCTCAAATTTGCTTCATTCATAACGTTGGCATTCAAATTCTATATCAACTTTTTTTTTTGCATGTCCAAAAGTCTATATTTAGATTTATGTAATCATTTCCAAAAACTCATAACATGTTTTTATCTAAGAAAATATTCTTTAGCCTTTCAAACACACAATACGAAGGGAGGCAAGCTCCTGTATTAACAGGGCGGACAAGCAGCAATCCAACAGCTCCATGAATTACATTTATTTAACCACAATAACACAAAGATATTCAAATATATCTTAAAATGGAGTCTGACTGTCTTCAGGATGAGTCTTAAGTCTTCTGTTTCATGTCTGTTGCAGTGAGTGCTTGTATAGCCAGTTTGGAGCCTGGTTACTCACATATTCCATTATCTGTCCCAGTACAGTGTCAGCGTGGGTTAAAGTCTCATGACCCTTCACCTCTGTCCCCTGACCCCTCCTGGCTGTAGATGCTCAAACCTTCAAGTCAATAACCAGTAAACCGGTGTCATTGT